AAGGCCATCTGACCAGATGCGGACTAGGGGTCCCTTGTCATCTAGCACACTTTCAGGATCATCAACTATTCCACTGTAAGTTACAGCTGACTGACAAAACCTTTCAGTGTATTCACTCACAGTTTCTTCTTTCCTTTGCACACAGTTAGTGATTCTGGACCAGTCTATTTTGGGTCCCATGATATTCTTTAGAATTTTCAAAACACCTTCTCTCAAATCGCCTTTACTGGCATGTTGTAGTTCAGAAGTAACAGCAGACTCAAAACTGTTGAATTCAGATTCAGTTAGAATTTGTGACATCAGCTATGTGACTTCTGCTAACGACATGTCGTAGAGACGCATTTTGCTGATCAATGCTCTTCTAAATTCAGAAAAATTTGTGCGTGCTGAGGGTAAGCTCTGGGATAGTCTCTCTATATCTTTAGGTCCTAGCGCTTTGGCAACAGTTTGTACTTGGACAACAGAAGAGTTGGGAGGAACACTTTCAATTCCCTCAATTCCCTGAGATCTTCTCCTAGCGCCACATACCTTCACTGAATCTACAGGCACATCAGTTACTGATTGGATGGCTACATCTGTTTCAAAGAAAGCTTGTAAGTCAGGATAATTGTTATCAGGCTGACTAACTTCTTCCACATCAGATTTTGCTCCAGCTTTGTTGCGGTTCAATTTCTTAGTCAAAGAGGATACTCTAGCACGGAGCTCTTTGTTCTGTTCCTCTAGCTCCGAGTAACGCTGAGACTGTTGTGTAGCTAGCGCTAAACCAAATTCTCTGTGCCAGTAGATAATGCCTTTCACATTGTTCTTGCGAATACATGCTCCTAGTACCTTTTTACACTCATCTACAGACCAAGTCTTGTCAGGATGGATCTCATATTTCTGAGTTAGTTCTTGTCTAACTTTCTCAGTGACTATTAGGTTCATTTGCACTCCTAACAGTGATTTGAATTCGTTATCTGACCACAAAGGAGTCGCGAGACCACCTTTTTCAGTTGTGGGGATCAGTCTAGCATTCTTTCTAAACATTTTGTGAGTTTCTTTGTTACCACACAATCAAAACACTAAAACTTCTCTGATCAACAGAGGGTACGCTTGTTAACACATCAACTATTGTTAACCTTCCTTGGCAAAGCAGAGGATAACACAAATTATTAGCACTTTACGCTAAACTTCCCTGCCAAAACAGAGGGTAACCAATTCTTCTCTGCCGAAACAGAGGGTAAAAAATATTAACACGTAATGTTAAATCTTCCCTGCCTGAACA